CCCCCCCCCCCCCCCGTCCCAAGAACATCGATCGGTATCATCAAAACGTGATGCACGACTGAGGAAAAAATAATCCCACTGTTGTCGAAAACCACATCGGAACGGCCTCCCATGTGAACATGGTGACAACATTCCCCTCTGGGCAAGTGCTGTCTTGTTGTACACGCATCGCCCCCTCTCCCACTTCACAAGCAAAAAACCCAACGTAGGAATAAGCATAATCTACAATGCCAAATCGATTTTTGAGTGCCTCCATTCCGACGAGGAATAGACTTCCGTCTCGGAAAATATATGAGAGCAACGGCCTCATGACCGCGAAAAGGCATTGCGCACAGAACACAAGTACACTCCCCTACCCCCCCAGGACTCGGGCAACTAGGGAAAGCAAGATCTCCAAGATCTATGCCTGGTTCGTGTTTATCTCGGGTGCATTTCTCTCGTCGCGTCTCCCTGACACCGAACATGTGCAGACAACGACGTCCAGAATACACATGATGACACAACCACACCTCTTCAGGCTTCTCGCTGCGCTTCAATACCGCTCCCAGGTTGGAGTACGTAGCAGCCAGACTAATAGGGTCATCACGCGCGCGCTCCGCGGCACTCAAAAGCACCTGCGATCGTTGCGGCGGTCAACATGGGAAACCATGGTGGAAGGCGGGATCATGATTGTTACTTCGATGTGGCAACGTTCGGTCTCATTCACCAAAACCGGCTTACGTGCTATCCCACACCAGGCTGAACATATCGTCTTGGGCCTTGGGACTTACTACTACAGATCCGAATTCGGCAAAAGCTATCTCGACGTCCTAGCCAATGCTCAGTGGTACTTTCAAAAGCCTCCCTGTGCGTGCGTTCGATGTCCTGACGTGACTACTTACCACTTCTGCTTCCGCCAAGCGGCCACTCTGGAGTAGCTGTGCCCCGAGATTGACTCTCGGGGCAGCGAGGGTTGGTGCCAAGTCGGCAGCCCTTGAGTAGGCAACAATAGCTTTCTCCGTCTCTCCCTGTAAGCATATCGCCGTACCGAGTGGAGGTGGAAAAACCAGCCACGGGGCGAGGGGAAAGATTGAGATCTGGACACTGAGGTAGTGGGAACAACAATATAAACAGTAGCGACCACGACCGCTTTGCACAGGCAGCATAATCAGTGGAGATAAAGTCTACGTAACCGGGGTGTACATTTGGTTCATTTCTACAGCAGGGAGATTACCGCTGTAAATAGACCTATAGACGGATTTTCTACGGGCTGAGGGCTCACGAGATCGCAGGAAAGGGCATACTGATGTTCTCGTGAGCCTAGACCCTTTTTTCGCGGTGTTGCGAGGGCTTTCCCGGCGTGCCGCGCGCTCTCGGGGCGGACTGCGTGCAGCGCTAGCGAGGGCAGAAAGTCGCGTCTCCGACATCTACCATGGATCCACCAATCACGCCCTGATTTCTTGACAGTGCAGGCCGTTAATACATTCGGCAAGCGGGTGACTGGCTTGTGGGTGTGCGCTGGCTACACGCCACACACCCTTGTCACCACCCACGGCAACCAAGCCACCAACTCACCGCATGACATGAGACAAAGTACTCTACTGCTGTAATACGTCTCCCTTTCGATCTCGGCGAAAAGCGGGGGGGCTAGCGGCCGGTGTCGTGCGCACAGCTGTCTGCAAAACTACACCGGCCCGAGAAAAAAAAAAGCATGAAGTACGTTGTTTGTTCCTCCGTTTCATGGAGGAAGAAGAATTTTCTTCGCAAATACATATCTCTGACATACACATACCTATCGCACTACAGTCGTAGAGGTCCCTTTTCAGGAGTAGAGGTCCCAGTTTCGTGCCCGGGTGTGCGCCGAAAATCACCGGCACTAAGCCGGACACCGTCACTATTCACAGTATAGAACGAGAAGTAACCCTCAGACAGTGGTTCGAGCTCGCGCGTGCAGCCGTAGATTTTATGGGTTCGAATCTTGCTCCTCTCTTTTTGTCCTTTGTTTTTTTTTCCTTTTTAATTGCGGAGAAAATACGTACGTAGTAGTCTGTGAGCTAAGCAATGCTGCATGCATGCATAGCATGTATGGCGTGCAGCAGCAGTTCATTTACTTAAGAGTGGCTACCGGGACACACGGTCCGCATCATCTCACAAACACGCACCAACTCACGAACTTCTACTACAGTCATCTGACTCCCAAAACCCTCTGGCAAGAGTATAGTACTGCTTGCTGTGGGACAACACACAACAACAGCTGCAGCAAGGACCCGCACAACTACGAAAAAATCGATTAAGAAAATAAGGCTCCAACTTTTAACCAAAAATAGGGGGAAAACACTGAGAAACACGGCTCAAATCTTGGCCACAACATAGGAAACGTCCCAATAAGAGACATGATCTGCGATCTTGCGATACTCCCAACACATGAAAGCGTTGCTGGGGGAGAACGTGTCCACAAAGAAACGTCCCCCCACCGCTTCTCCTTCCTCGCTCCCACCCCCCCCTCCGTACCCATAGATAAACTAGTAGCTGAAAATTGGATATTTTCATAGGGGGGAAGAGTGATGATTGTCTCGCCCCCCCCCCCCCCCCCCCCCCCCCCCCCCCCCCCCCCCCCCCCCCCCCCCCCCCCCCCCCCCCCCCCCCCCCCCCCCCCCCCCCCCCCCCCCCCCC